GCACACCGCCGCTAGCCCCCAAACGTCCGCTTCCCGCGGCCCGCGCACCCATCGCGGCGTTCTGTAGGCGTACACTCAATGGTGTGGTAGGCCGGACGGACGCGCGTATTTGCCAATCTTTAAAAATTAATATCTCGTTAACTATTGCTGCAATCCCAAAATGGTACAGGACTTTTCGACTCAGTATAGTCTGTTCTACCCACCTGTGAAATATTTGGCGGTTATTCTCGCCCACCCTGTATATGTATATACAGGGTGTCCAGTAAAGAGACGATTTCCGTTTAAGGGGAGATTCTTGAGATAATTTTGAGACGAAAATTCTAATACCAAAATGTTGAGGCTATAATAACTTTTGAATTATAAGCGTTTAAATTTAACGAATCATATCGTCTAAAGTTGGCGCGCTCAGGAGCGACACAACGCAAAGTACTAAACGCGAAAACTTATCACTTCTTTTGTCAATATTGATTTTATGCGATTACATATTTTATTCTATTGATATTTCTATAAATGCATTATTCAAATACACTTTAAACATTTTATTAAAATAAAATCTTTATTGAAATAATAAAGGAGAAACTAAGAAAAAAATGATTATAAAATCATTAATTATGAACAATTATAATTATTTATACCACTTTATGATAATTAATTAACCTTATGATAATTAATTTACAAAATAAATTATGTATATTATAATAAATGTTCGAACTGTGTTCCATTCATATCTATGCATAATCTTGCGCGTCTCAATAAACTTTTTTGCGCATTGATTATCATATCGGGTGATACGCTTGCAACTGCTTCAACAATGCGATTGTGTAAGTCCTCCCGATTGCGTACTAGATCCCGATAAATATAATTTTTTAAATGTTCCCAGAGAAAAAATCTAATGGAGTTAAGTCGGATGATCTCGCTGGCCAATATTGCGGTCCATTGATATTTCTTATTACTTAATATGACGAAGAGGCTAATTTCACACGTGCAGAAAGTTGTGAAGTTATGAGAAGATATGCAAAACAATTTCCGATAAGTCAGCTTTCGCGTTTAGTACTTTGCGTTGTACCGCTCCTGAGCGCGCCAACTTTAGACGATATGATTCGTTAATTTTAAACGCTTATAATACAAAAATTATTACAGCCTCAACATTTTGGTATTAGAATTTTCGTCTCAAAATTATCTCAAGAATCTCCCCTTAAACGGAAATCGTCTCTTTACTGGACACCCTGTATATATATTAGGGTGTCCGTTATTTTGGTTATTTTCGAAATTTGTACGGGACCCTCCCTGACTTTTTAGTAAAAAAATAACAAAAATTTTGGCGCTAATAAAAAGTTCCTACGATGATTCTAAGTGGAGGCTCATCGATGTTGAAAATTAACCTGTAAATCTTATGGGAAAAAACATTTTTTTAGTATTTCTTTGGGCATTTCCACCGCAGTCAGTCTAAAAATCCAGCAAGTGAGATATCTTTTCTTGAATGTTTTCCACGTGAAATGAGCCTAGGCGGAACAAAATCGATCAATTTCCGGCCGAGTTATTCCACTTTAAACTTCAATAATTTTTCACCCAAAAAATGAGAAGAGCCTAAAATCTCTCAATAAAATTACAATAGCTCTGTTAGAATGCATTTTAAAATCATGAACCATTGAGGGGATAATGGAGGTTTCACAATTTTCAATTTCGAAATTTTTTGTCATATCAAAGAATTAATATCACAAACAACATGAATAAAAAAAATTGCAGGTAACGAAAAGTGCACGGGACAATTAATAAGAAAGATATTTATCAGCTTGCAGATTTCTCGCGTTCGAAGAAGAGTAATATTAAAGGGACCGTATGGCGTCCAGAAATTATTTTTCAATAACGACAGGTATGGCTTTCGAAAGGAAAAAACGTAAGGAATATGATCGTATTTCGTGCAATAACTTACGATTTTTTTCTCTCGAGTTATAGCGAATAAACTAAACCTTCATTTCTTTCACCTGATTTTAGTAAAAAAAACTTCTTCATAAAAACTGCGGTAATTCGGCTACAAATTATCGTTTTTAACTTGTAAGGTGGTCATTTTAATCGCAAAACTATAAGGAATGTGAAATTCAATGGTTCATGATTTTAAAATGCATTCTAACAGAGCTACTGTAATTTTATTGAGAGATTTTAGGCTCTTCTCATTTTTTGGGTGAAAAATTATTGAAGTTCAAAGTGGAATAACTCGGCCGGAAATTGATCGATTTTGTTCCGCCTAGGCTCATTTCACGTGGAAAACATTCAAGAAAAGATATCTCACTTGCTGGATTTTTAGACTGACTGCGGTGGAAATGCCCGAAGAAATACTAAAAAAATGTTTTTTCCCATAAGATTTACGGGTTAATTTTCAACATCGATGAGCCTCCACTTAGAATCATCGTAGGAACTTTTTATTAGCGCCAAAATTTTTGTTATTTTTTTACTAAAAAGTTAGGGGGGGGTCCCGTACAAATTTCGAAAATCGCCAAAATAACGGACACCCTAATATATATACATATATGTAATATTATGAGATGAGAGGCACAGCGGAAAGTCGAGGCGATTCGAAAATCGGCCGAAAGTTACATACACTTCACGTATGTTCACTTTGTACTGATAACTTTAATTAATAATCAGTTACTTTTCGTGGTAATATATGTATTACTATTTAACTCGTGATTGTACTGCAATAGTTTTAAATATACGTCATATCAGTTAGCAATCGGTACTATATTTAAATGATGATTGCACGGTTTATCGGTGAGCCGGATGAAGGCGGGACGCGCGACTCGCATCCGCCCTTTCACATCAAAACAATCCCCAAGGCCGCTTTCACTAACCGTCTAATATTAACGCGTCAATTTTAAAACAACGTATTCATTTTTTATTCGTTAACGCGATCGCATATTATAAAACAAAGTTATTAAATAAATGAAAAACAGTTACTCTTCGTGGTAATATATTATGTGCGGGACGGTGTTGTGAGGGGAACAGTGAAAGCTAAATGATTTGAAAATTAACCGAAAGTTGCACTGTCCCTTTCACCTCACCGCTCCGCGTGGAGTACAAATGCCCCATGTTAGTCGAATTGTTCTGCGCGTGGAGCGGTGAAGTGAGTGGGACAGCGAAAGCTAGACGAAAGCGATTCGAAAATCAGCCGAAAGTTGCATTGTCCCTATCAACGCTTCTCGTGCAGTCGAAATGTCCCATGACAATCGAATACACTTTATGTATGTTCACTTTGTATTGGCAACTTTAATAATTAATAATCAGTTACTTTTCGTGGTAATATATTAGAATTTAACTCGTGATAGTACTGCGATAGTTTTTTTAAATATGCGTTATATCGGTCAGCAGTCTGTAGTATTTAAAATAATAATTTTATTTAATATGTATATTTAAATGATGACTGCTTTCACTAATCGTCTAATATTAACGCATCGATTTTAGAATAACATATTTATTTTTTATTCGTTAACGCGATCGCATATTACAAAACAAAATTATTAAAATAAATGTAAAACAGTTGCTTTTCGTAGTAATATATTGTACGGTGAGGGGGACAACGAAAGCTAGTCGTAAACGATTCGAAAATTAACCGAAAGTTGCATTGTCCCCCTCACCACATCGCTCCGCGTGCAGTTGAAATGCCCCATGACGGTCAGATGGCATTGTTCTGCGCGCGGAGCGGTGAGGTGAGGGGAACTGCGAAAGCTAGGCGAATGCGATTCGAAAATCAGCCGAAAGTTGCACTGTCCCTTTCACCGCTCCGCGGGCAGTCGAAATGCCCCATGACAGTTGAATGGCATTGTTCTGCGCGCGGAGTGGTGAGGTGAGGGGAATAGCGAAAATTAGACGGAGGCGATTCGAAAATCAACTGAAAGTTGCATCGTCCCCCTCACCGCTCCGCAGGCAGTCGTAATGCCTCATGTCAGTCGAACGGCATTGTTCTGCGCACGGAGCGGTGAGGTGAGGGGAACAGCGAAAGCTAGACGAAGGCGATTCGAATCAGTCGAAAGTTGCATTTGCCCACCACTCCCCACCTCATCTCACCGCGTGCAGTCCAAGTGCTTCATGATGGTCAAATGGCATTGTACTGTGCGCGGTGCGATATGGTAAGGGGGACAGCGAAAGCTGGACGAAAACTATTCGAAAATCAACCGAAAGTTGCACCCCTCTCACCTCACCGCTCTGCTCGCAGTCCTCATGCCCCATGACGATAGAGCGGTATAGACTAGCGCCACATTTGTCTCTTGCGGCAGGAATGTCAGAAGGACATCGAATGGAATGTGGTCGACGATAATAATGACAACGACGACGACAATAATGACGACGACGTATCTTAAAAATAAAACGTGAAATTTACAGATTCGGACTTTGAGTCGCGATATCTTCGCTCGTAGGGCACGTAGAGAAAAAAAAAGCACTTTTATTATACAATTTAAGCAACTGCTATCGATTGAGCGTATATAGAACTTGATCCGTTCAGCCGTTACTGAGATCTGATCATCTCAATCCCCCGAAACTCTCAGATTCGCGTAAAGAAGGCACGGCAGTGTCGCAGCGCTTGGCTTAGCGCCGAGACACTACCAGTCCAGATATATGGCAGAAATGATGTTATTAAAAAAAATTCTTTGTTCATAACTTTTTAACGAAGGACGAGCGACGACTAAAACTTGTTGGAAGTTACTCAGGGTCATGACCTTGACCACATATGTCAAGGTCAAGGTCATAGCGTTGGTCTCCCTTTTTACGCACATTTACCGAAAAAGTCTTTACTCCAGCTCCTAGATTATAATATATGTATGTACAACTTGACTGAGGAAAGTTGTGGAATAACATTCCTTACTTTAAAATTTTTCCATATATTTAATAAAAATAGATTTTTTTATACATACAGAGAATAGTTATAGTTTTAAAATAGTTGCGAAATATGATGTAAATTAAAACAGTCAGTGATAAGGTTTTCTACTAAAAATGCTTGTTTATAGGATTTTCATGAAGAGTATGCGACAGAAGCCTTTAAGAAATTTGATAAAGATGGTACAGGTTTTATTTCCGCATTAGACTTTCAAGACATCATGTTCAGTATTAAGAGTCATTTACTTACAAAAGATGTGAAGGATAATCTAATTGCTGTAAGTATTATTTTTAGAGTAGATAGAAAACTTCATAATTAACAATTGCAGATTTTATATGATATTATACGTTTTAACCACAATTTTATGTAAAACTAAAGACATTAACAAAATATTTTTATCAAGATGTGCTTAATGCATGTATGAAACGTACGTTCATTACAATTAATATTTATTAATCTTAAGTTTTGTGTTATTTTAATGTAAAGTATAGGATTTAAATTTATTTGAACATATGGTATTCCAGGGCTCGATAAAGTAACTGATACGACTTATTTAAAATAAAAGATATGAAATAAGCTCCAAAAATTTAATTAAAATATAAAATTATTGGAGTCGGTAAAACAATTGACACGATTTATTTGAAATAAAAAATATAAATTGGTTCCAAAAACTTATTTAAAATATTAAATAAGAAATCGGCCAGAAGAAGATGTATAAAATAATAAATATTAAATAAACTCTTTCATTCTTTAATTTTTCTTTATGTAAAATATATATTTTGACTGGGCATAGCGGAATAAGCATGTAAAATCTGCCCCCGTACCAATCGAGCTCAAATTGGTATCATTAGTTGGTACTTCTGAGATGTACAACTTCCCCAAATATTAGCCTTAAAATTGCATTTTTTTCGGAGTTATGGAGGGGGAAAGCGGAATAAAAAAGTGTTTTTTTTTTCGAAAACAACTGTACTAATTTTAATGAAAAAAATAGATTTTTTAACCATGTTCCACCACTCCGATCGATTTAAAAAAAATATATGTTAAAGTTGAAAGATTATTTTCATGAAGTATAAAAGTGGTATCTCAAAAATATCAACAAAAAAAAATTCCTAAAAGATTAAAAAAATTGTTTAATGGTTTTGTTTACATCGTAAAAATTTCAAAAAATTGTCTTCAACTTATCTGATCGATATTTACAACATATATTTTTTCATTAAAATTAGTACAGTAGTTTTCGAAAAAAAAAAAACATTTTTTTTATTTCGCTTTCCCACTTCATAACTCCCCAAAAAATGCAATTTCAAGTCTAATATTTTGGGAAGTTTTACATCTCAGAAGTACCAACAAATGATACCAATTTGAACTCGATTGGTGCTGGGGCAGATTTTACATGCTTATTCCGCTATGCCCTTTATTTGAAATAAGACCAAGCCTTGGATATTACCTAATTAACTGTATATTCATATATCGCAGGCAGTTGGTATCGGTCAAAGCGGAAGAAAAGTCAGTTTTCCATACTTTATGGCATTCAATTCTCTTCTAAACAATATGGAACTTATTAAACGTATCTACTTAAATGCGACCAACGGTCACAGATACCAAGAAGTTACCAAAGGTAATACATTCTGAAGGAAAATATGTGTGTGTATATATACATTAAAAATGTTTTTTTCTTGCTATGATGTAGAAATCGTACAGGGAAAGAATAATTTATTTTATTATAAATAAAAATAGGCAAAGGCATATAAGAGTCAAATACAAAATTATAGAAAGCAAATTCATAATATAGTAATACCTTTAATTACAGAGTCAAAAAATATATATAAAATATTACCTATTAATTTCTAAAACGCTCGTATGAATATATTAAATTCTAAATTAAAAATAAAACTAGAAAAGCATTACGTTTCGATTCCGTATTTGGGCCCTCCTCAGATGTACCAAAAATTAATAAATTAATAAACGCAGTAAAATTAACAAAATTAGAACGATAGTGGAGTTGTCGACGGTCATGTTCAAAGAACGTTGAGTATTTTCTCAGAGGGAACATAAGAGCTTGTCAAGCGATTGGATGATTGTTTGCGAAAAATCCTTATGGTTCTAGTAAGAACACAAAATTACTTTTCTAAAAATTATATTGAGACTAGCAATAGTTTCTCTGATAAAAACTCACCCTCGAGTGCAAAAAATCGAAAAAATCCATGTCGGTAAATCAGTCATCTATCTATATAAAGTCGTTGTCTCAGAGATGCTAAATATTAAAAAACAGAATAACAGTCTCAACCGACATGGATTTTTTCGATTTTCTGCACTCAAGGTTTTTATCAGAGAAACTATTGCTTGTCTCAATATAATTTTTAGAAACGTAATTTTGTGTTCTTACTAGAACCATAAGGATTTTTCGCAAACGATCATCCAATCGCTTGACAAGCTCTTATGTTCTCTCTGAGAAAATACTCAACGTTCGTTGAACATGACCGTCGACAACTCCGCTATCGTTCTAATTTTGTTAATTTTACTGCGTTTATTAATTTATTAATTTTTTGTATATTTGAGGAGGGCCCAAATACGGAGCCGAAACGTAATGCTTTTCTAGTTTTATTTTTAATTTAGAATTTAATATATTCATGCGAGCGTTTTAGAAATTAGTAGGTAATATTTTATATATATATATTTTGTGACTCTGTAATTATAGGTATTATTATGTTATGAATTTGCTTTCTATAATTTTGTATTTGACTCTTATATGCCTTTGCCTATTTTCGTTATTTAAATATTATGAGTCCTGTATATTCTCTTCATTATTTTATTATATTTTAATAATATAATCTATATATATAGTAAATACATTTAATCAATTAGTTGCTTTTACATTAATTATCAACATAATGTTCAGTGCGTAAATATCTATAGACTAATTAAATAGATATTAATAAATTTTGTTATCAAAATATTTAAGCATTAAAATTTTTTGCTAGAGGAATTTCTTTATTCTGCACAAATGATGTCCCAGATAACTCCATTGGAAGTGGATATTTTGTTTCACCTTTGCGATTTACTTCATCAAACTGGGTGAGTATTTTTTACATTGAAAACACTAAAATACTTTTTCTTTTGTTGATTGATTGAAAAAATATTACATGGAGCAGTCACTTTAACATTGATCCTAACAAAATGTTCAGACCTTATTAATTAAAGACTGATTCACGCTGGTCAACAAGACAAAAACAAAAAAGAGAACGAGTTACGTAAAACTATCGTTGCACCATCAAGCACATCGTCATCATCCAAATGTCAAGTATGTCTCGTTCTTGGCAATTCATAAAAGTTGACACAATTTTATCAAATAATTCATTCCTAATAGCCAAGCTTACTATACAATGCTTAACAATATACTGGCTGTTTTCCAGCTAGGACACAGAAACGTTACACTGTACTCCACTGTGTAAAGACTTGTTGGAACGATAGAGCTCTAACTGGTAACACTGGCATACTCTACACATTCGTACTTAGCTTTTTACAGTGTTGAGCAGTGTAACACTGTGTCACAGTTGGAACACTTTGTGTAAGACACAGTGTTACACTGTGTCATCTGTGTACGTTGTTGGAAAACACCCACTATTTTCTAATATTTAAATAATATATTTCTCTCTCGTATATTGAAAGTATTGATTTACGTGTTTACGCTGCCTGGATCAGATCTACGAAAGATGACGAAGCAGATTCGTGGCTTGGGTGCGTTTTGTGTTATAGACCACGTTTTGTGTTATAGACCACGCGCGCACACGTACGCACACATACACGCACACATACACGCACACACGCGCACGCACGCACGCACGCACGCACGCACGCACACACACACACACACACACGCACGCACGCACGCAC